ACCTAGCAGTAAATAGGTACCTGGGAGTTAGTCAGCTGTCACGGGCTGCTTCCTGGGGGTGGAGGCCTGGTCGAGGACCGGGCCGCGGGGACACTAAAGCCCCGAAATCATCTCAAGATAACCTCTTGTACGTCCACCAGCACACACAGCGTTTCAGGCAGGTCCTTAATCCTTATTTTCCCTGGAATACAACCCGCCAAATCGTTTAATAATCCGGTACCCATTCACTGCGGGGTGAACAGAGGCTACAGTTAAGGATTGGTGCCCGGTGAATCCTTACCGGCCGGGATACGAATCCAGGCCAAAGCGCTCGCGAAGCGCCGCATGAGTGTCTTACCACTGCGCCACGGGAACTGAAAATGAGGTGTGCATAGTGAGGACACACCTCGTCCACACCATAAATGGAACAACAATTTTGCTCTTATCTTCGTCAGTCGTTAGGTGATGTAACTCAATATACCAGAAGTTGTATCAATATGTCTCAGTATAGAGATATTCAAATTTATTAATCCGAAATGTCATTAGCATGCCCCAAGCCTTCACAAACGAGGCCGCCAGACTGGCAAGGAACAGTGATAATGTATAATATAGCCAGTCCAAAATTTTGAAATCAATTTTGGGGTTGTTACAGGGGATTTTGTCGGATTTTGTGTATGTTATCCGGCAATGGTTCCTTGGTTGGAAACAGTTTAGGAAGCTTCTGAAGCAACTTAGCCCAGGACAAAGGGTTATTAATTTCCTCTACAATGCCTGGAGTAATTAAAGAAATTAGACCAAGAGTCATTAAATACAGACCAGTATCACTGACGTTCCTTCCCTACAAGATCCTCCAGAGGCTCCTAAAGCTTCTAAATGACAATAATAAAGCAGAAGAAAGAACGGTCAGTTGACTGTCTTGACCGTCAGAAAGCATTTGATGCCTTCCTGCATAGAAGCCTCCTATACAACCCTTGAGAATAAAGCTGGTGTAGTGTGAACAGGTCAGACGACGGGGGAATACCTCTCGGATAGCAAACTGAGGGTGAGAGAGAGGGGGAGGAATGTTAGTGATGGCAGGTTACACATGGGGCGCCACTGGTAACCTTACTGGGACATTCCTGCTCTATGCAACTGACCAGGAGGAAAAAGAATCATTCATAGCTGTACACGATGAAACACTGTCGAGAGACTACAGTGACACCTGGATGTCCTGCAGCGTTAGACAGAATGACGGCTGCTAGATTTCAACTGGGCAAATGTAAAGTAATAAGAACTGGAGAGAGAGGAGAAAGAAGATCACAGAGGTCATTACACGTCAAGAGGAAAACGACACTGAAAAAATATCTGGGAGATTGAGTAACACCAAACCTGTTACATGAGGAACAAGTAACCTCTTGAGCACATGGGACACTGGCCAAGGTCCCAGTAACTCTGAATGTGACCTACACAACATTACACAAAACTATTGTGCTTAACCTGAAACATTCGAACACAAGCAATGCACCTTGCCAATCGAGACAGATGAATAGAGAACGTAAATTTTACGGTGCTTTAATTTGTACTAATACGTCGCATATTTAAAATAAAATAAAATAAAATGTTTATTTAGGTAAGGTACATACATAAAGTAAATTTTTACAAAGATTGGTTGACTTATAGGTAGAGCTAGTACATACAATGCCTAAAGCCACTATTACGCAAAGCGTTTCGGGCATGATAAACTTAAATGACAAGCTTAAGACTAATTGAGCATAATGAGTAGAATGAAAACAAGAAATGAAAACACAGATGAAAAAGCAGCACAAATACAATTATGTCGTCAAACAGCGCTCTTTTAAAAAAAAAACAGACATTGGTTGACAATAGAAGGGTATGGTAGGTTACAGGGAATTTATTAGGTATAGCTTCGTTTTTAACTTAAACTGGTTGAGAGAGGTACTGTCTTTAACATGGTTGGGAAGGTCATTCCACATTCTGGGCCCCTTGATTTGTAGTGAATTTCTAGTTTGATTAAGTCGTACTCTAGGAATATCAAAACTGTATTTATTTCTGGTGTGGTGCTCATGGGTTCTGTTACAACCTTCTATGAAGCTTTTGAGATCAGGATTGGCATTATAGTTTAGCGTTTTATATATGTATAATACACATGAGAGAATGTGCAGTGACTTAATGTCTAACATATTCAGAGATTTGAGATTTGAGATTTGATCTAACATATTCAGAGATTTGATTTGATTTAACTGATTCCCTAAAAATGCGACGTATTAGATGAGAGGACAGTTTGTTCCCTCACCTAATACGGCTGAGAACCTCATCACCACCAAGGGAAGAAGAACCTGTAGACCTAAAAGAATGGTAGGCCCAAAGAACACGGGTGAAAGACACAGGTCCAGGTTTAATATATAATAAATAAAAAAATAATAAAAATATAAGCAACAAAAAGATAATGCAAACAGCCCTTAAAGTGAGGACAAACATTCATATGTATTATGGAGAGTTAAAATAACCGGAGAGTTTATCAAAATCATTCAACATTCATCCATCCATCTCTCTCTCCCTCTCCCTCCCTCCCTCCCTCTCCGCCTATGGATGAATGACAGGTGCAGGCGCCCCTCTCCACACTCTCCAACATAGGCTGCAGCAGGGAAGCTATTGTCCCCGTATACAGGTATTGTTCAACACCCTGGCTCTGCTCAGCATTTTAATTAAGAGACACAATAATGCCATTATGGAGCCTCAGTTTTACACATTTTGCCAATCCATCGCACAATTATCATTTTCAACCGATTCTAATACCCTTATTTGCTTACTATTTTGCTAGGAAATCAGCTACGAATTAAGAGCAGATAATCCCCCCCCCCACACACACACATAAAAAAAAAGCGAGGAAACGGTTAGAAAAGACAAAATAAACAACCACTGAGACCGGAGATGTTTCCCAAGGTTTGGGTGGAAGGAAAATATTTCACATTTTGTCTCGATCCGCAAGTTTAAAATACAAAATGTTTAGAAAGTAGACCGCCAGGGTCCACTGTAATGGAAACTCCTTCAGATGACCCGGCTAAAGATTGGAACACCACGTTCGTTATCACATGAACATTGGAACGTTATGAGAATCACTTGGTGATTCTTATAACATGAGAATCACTTGGTGATTCTTATAACATGAGAATCACTTGGTGATTCTTATAACATGAGAATCACTTGGTGATTCTTATAACATGAGAATTACTTGGTGATTCTTATAACATGAGAATCACTTGGTGATTCTTATAACATGAGAATCACTTGGTGATTCTTATAACATGAGAATGGTGATTGATGAACATACTGTATGATCAAAGGTTTTGTAAACAAAAAAAAACATTAAGCTATTATTATCTACACGTGCTATTAGTTGCTTATTCTTATGTTTAAACAAGTCAGAGAGCAAGAGAAAATGAGCACCGCGGAGGAAGATAGGACCGGTAAAACAATTAATAACAACTAAGTAGTTTATTTACAGAACACTATGAACTATTACGGGCATGAAAGAAGGACTAAAGGTCACAGACACACATAATCAGGGAACCAAAGAACTTAAGACTAACAAACAGCAAACAGGAATGGAAGAAACGCCCGAAACGCCGAAGAAATGCCCGAAACGCTTTGCGTAATAGTGGCTTTAGGCATTGTATGTACTAGCTCTACCTATAAGTCAACCATTCTTTGTAAAAATTTATTGTATGTATGTACCTTACCTAAATAAACATTTTATTTTATTTATTTTTAACCGCGTGAACACAGATTATTTAAGTTGTACCAAACTACCAAGCGCCTGTAACAGAGAATGATAAACGTACAGTCAACAACATCAAATCTCTACCTCTATGTTGTCTCAACACTGGCTAGCCTTAGTGTGTAATCAACTGGCTGTGACTTGCTTGCTCTGTAATCGTTGTGCAGAGCCAAGCGTATTCCAGGCCTGGTGTACCTGCCACAGACGGGATCACCAGTCATGGCCTGTGAATAATCTCGAGGGTTCTACTCCACTGACCGTAGAAAACCACGGTGTGCGCGCGTGGGAACCCGGGTCTGCAGGGGAACCTCAACTAGCCAGTAACTAATCCTAACACTTGGAGTATAAACAAAGTTACTTTAACCATATTCTTCTACAAATTATTATTATGAATTATTATTATTAAATAGTAATATTATCAAAGATAGTAATTTGTATTATCATTATTATTTGTACTATTAGTACTAATTGTATGGTAATAGGAGTGTGTTTGGTGAGGAGTGCGTGTAGAGAGTGCAGGACTTACCTGACAAGAGATAATAAGCTTTAAAGTGACGCAGGTCAGATGGAGCTGACTTAGACCACAGACCTTTCTAACAAGCTGACCTGTCTTAAATTTGAAGCGCTTTTCCTTAACCAGAAGCGTACAAACTGTGATAGCCGACCTAACCTATCAATGCCCATGTTCATTATTCTACACATGTGTCAACATTGCGTTGCTTTCCTTTTCACTAACGCTTCCAGAATTCTGCCGGGGTGGTGGATCGCGTCGCCATGCGGTGCACCAGTGTGTGGCCATGTTTGGGAAGGACACGATGGAGTGCAAAACGTTGTTGCAAAACATGGTAGCGTTAAAACACAAATGAATCCCATAAAAAGAACTCTATGATAAAACAAAGAAATCCGGAAGAAAATCTAGACCACTCACAAACCCGGAAATTCAACCAAATCCATAAACAAAAAATTAGAAAAACTCCAACTAAAAAAAAAAGCTTTGCTAAAACGCAATTGAACTCTGAAAAAACTAGACGAGAGATAAAGAGATGAAAAAAGAGGGACAGGGACGAGTTGGCGGACAAAATAGGGATTCATGGTCCTGTTATTTGTCCTGTGTAGTGTTGTGAGTCACCTCGAGACGCAGAGCTGAGGTACACAGGGATGGTCAGCGTTCACACCACGACACAGTGATGGTCAGCGTTCACACCCCGACACAGTGATGGTCAGCGTTCACACCCCGACACAGTGATGGTCAGCGTTCACACCACGACACAGACAAAGACAACCAACCTTCACACTACGACACTGACAAAGACGACCAACCTTCACTTTACGACACAGACAAAGACAACCAACCTTCACTTTACGACACAGACAAAGACAACCAACCTTCACTTTACGACACAGACAAAGACAACCAACCTTCACACCACGACACAGACAAAGACAGCCTTCACACTACGACACAGACATGGTCAGCGTTCACACCACGACACAGACAAAAACAACCAACCTTCACACCACGACACAGACAAAAACAACCAACCTTCACACCACGACACAGACAAAAACAACCAACCTTCACACCGCGACACAGACAAAGACAACCAACCTTCACACCACGACACAGACAAAGACAACCAACCTTCACACTAGGACACAGACAAAAACAACCAACCTTCACACCACGACACAGACAAAGACAACCAACCTTCACACCACGACACAGACAAAGACAACCAACCTTCACACTAGGACACAGACAAAAAACAACCACCTTCACACCACGACACAGACAAAGACAACCAACCTTCACACCGCGACACAGACAAAGACAACCAACCTTCACACCACGACACAGACAAAGACAACCAACCTTCACACTACGACACAGACAAAAACAACCAACGTTCACACCACGACACAGACAAAGACAACCAACCTTCACACCACGACACAGACAAAGACAACCAACCTTCACACTACGACACAGACAAAAACAACCAACCTTCACACCACGACACAGACAAAGACAACCAACCTTCACACCACGACACAGACAAAGACAACCAACCTTCACACTAGGACACAGACAAAAACAACCAACCTTCACACCACGACACAGACAAAGACAACCAACCTTCACACCGCGACACAGACAAAGACAACCAACCTTCACACCACGACACAGACAAAAACAACCAACCTTCACACCACGACACAGACAAAGACAACCAACCTTCACACCACGACACAGACAAAACAACCAACCTTCACACCACGACACAGACAAAAACAACCAACCTTCACACCACGACACAGACAAAGACAACCAACCTTCACACCACGACACAGACAAAGACAACCAACCTTCACACCGCGACACAGACAAAAACAACCAACCTTCACACCACGACACAAAGACAACCAACCTTCACACCACGACACAAAGACAACCAACCTTCACACCGCGACACAGACAAAAACAACCAACCTTCACACCGCGACACAGACAAAAACAACCAACCTTCACACCGCGACACAGACAAAAACAACCAACCTTCACACCACGACACAGACACCAGGGGGCGCGGGATGCCATCTTTCCCGGTCGCCAGAAGGTAATATGAACTGCTATCGAAATGTTGTGAGGCAGGCAGGCAGGCAGGCAGCAGGCAGGCAGGCAGGCAGGCAGGCAGGCAGGCAGGCAGGCGTCAGGCAGGCAGGCAGGCAGGCAGGCAGGCAGGCAGGCAGGCAGGCAGGCGGCAGGCAGGCAGGCAGGCAGGCAGGCAGGCAGGCAGGCAGGCAGGCAGGCAGGCAGGCAGGCAGGCAGGCAGGCAGGCAGGCAGGCAGGCAGGCAGGCAGGCAGGCAGGCAGGCAGGCAGGTCAGGCAGGCAGGCAGGCAGGCAGGCAGGCAGGCAGGCAGGCAGGCAGGCAGGCGGCAGGCAGGCAGGCAGGCAGGCAGGCAGGCAGGCAGGCGTGTCAGGCAGGCAGGCAGGCAGTGTCAGGCAGGCAGGCAGGCAGGCAGGCAGGCAGGCAGGCAGGCAGGCAGGCAGGCAGGCAGGCAGGCAGGCAGGCAGGCAGGCAGGCAGGCAGGCAGGCAGGCAGGCAGGCAGGCAGGCAGGCAGGCAGGCAGGCAGGCAGGCAGGCAGGCAGGCAGGCAGGCAGGCAGGCAGGCAGTCAGGCAGGCAGGCAGGCAGGCAGGCAGGCAGGCAGGCAGGCAGGCAGGCAGGCAGGCAGGTCAGGCAGGCAGGCAGGCAGGCAGGCGTGTCAGGCAGGCAGGCAGGCAGGCAGGCAGGCAGGCAGGCAGGCAGGCAGGCAGGCAGGCAGGCAGGCAGGCAGGCAGGCAGGCAGTCAGGCAGGCAGGCAGGCAGGCAGGCAGGCAGGCAGGCAGTCAGGCAGGCAGGCAGGCAGGCAGGCAGGCAGGCAGGCAGGCAGGCAGGCAGGCAGGCAGGCAGGCAGGCAGGCAGGCAGGCAGGCAGTCAGGCAGGCAGGCAGGCAGGCAGCGAGGCAGGCAGGCAGGCAGGCAGGCAGGCAGGCAGGCAGGCAGGCAGGCAGGCAGGCAGGCAGGCAGGCAGGCAGGCAGGCAGGCAGGCAGGCAGGCAGGCAGACAGGCAGGCAGGCAGTCAGGCAGGCAGGCAGGCGTCAGGCAGGCAGGCAGGCAGGCAGGCAGGCAGGCAGGCAGGCAGGCAGGCAGGCAGGCAGGCAGGCAGGCAGGCAGGCAGGCAGGCAGGCAGGCAGGCAGGCAGGCAGGCAGGCAGGCAGGCAGGCAGGCAGGCAGGCAGGCAGGCAGGCAGGCAGGCAGGCAGGCAGGCAGGCAGGCAGGCAGGCAGTCAGGCAGGCAGGCAGGCAGGCAGGCAGGCAGGCAGGCAGGCAGGCAGGCAGGCAGGCAGGCAGGCAGGCAGGCAGGCAGGCAGGCAGGCAGGCAGGCAGGCAGGCAGGCAGGCAGGCAGGCAGGCAGGCAGGCAGGCAGGCAGGCAGGCAGGCAGGCAGGCAGGCAGGCAGGCAGGCAGGCAGGCAGGCAGGCAGGCAGGCAGGCAGGCAGGCAGTCAGGCAGGCAGGCAGGCAGGCAGGCAGGCAGGCAGGCAGGCAGGCAGGCAGTCAGGCAGGCAGGCAGGCAGGCAGGCAGGCAGGCAGGCAGGCAGGCAGGCAGGCAGGCAGGCAGGCAGGCAGGCAGGCAGGCAGGCAGGCAGTCAGGCAGGCAGGCAGGCAGGCAGGCAGGCAGGCAGGCAGGCAGGCAGGCAGGCAGGCAGGCAGGCAGGCAGGCAGGCAGGCAGGCAGGCAGGCAGGCAGGCAGGCAGGCAGGCAGGCAGGCAGGCAGTCAGGCAGGCAGGCAGGCAGGCAGGCAGGCAGGCAGGCAGGCAGGCAGGCAGGCAGGCAGGCAGGCAGGCAGGCAGGCAGGCAGGCAGGCAGGCAGGTCAGGCAGGCAGGCAGGCAAGCAGGCAGGCAGGCAGGCAGGCAGGCAGGCAGGCAGGCAGGCAGGCAGGCAGGCAGGCAGGCAGGCAGGCAGGCAGGCAGGCAGGCAGGCAGGCAGGCAGGCAGGCAGGCAGGCAGGCAGGCATCAGGCAGGCAGGCAGGCAGTGCAGGCAGGCAGGCAGGCAGGCAGGGCAGGCAGGCAGGCAGGCAGGCAGGCAGGCAGGCAGGCAGTCAGGCAGGCAGGCAGGCAGGCAGGCAGGCAGGCAGGCAGGCAGGCAGGCAGGCAGGCAGGCAGGCAGGCAGGCAGGCAGGCAGGCAGGCAGGCAGGCAGGCAGGCAGGCTGGCAGGCAGGCAGGCAGGCAGGCAGGCAGGCAGTGCAGGCAGGCAGGCAGGCAGGCAGGCAGGCAGGCAGGCAGGCAGGCAGGCAGGCAGGCAGGCAGGCAGGCAGGCAGGTCAGGCAGGCAGGCAGGCAGGCAGGCAGGCAGGCAGGCAGGCAGGCAGGCAGGCAGGCAGGCAGGCAGGCAGGCAGGCAGGCAGGCAGGCAGGCAGGCAGGCAGGCAGGCAGGCAGGCAGGCAGGCAGGCAGGCAGGCAGGCAGGCAGGCAGGCAGGCAGGCAGGCAGGCAGGCAGGCAGGCAGGCAGGCAGGCAGGCAGGCAGGCAGGCAGGCAGGCAGGCAGGCAGGCAGGCAGGCAGGCAGGCAGGCAGGCAGGCAGGCGTGTCAGGCAGGCAGGCAGGCAGGCAGGCAGGCAGGCAGGCAGGCAGGTCAGGCAGGCAGGCAGGCAGGCAGGCAGGCAGGCAGGCAGGCAGGCAGGCAGGCAGGCAGGCAGGCAGGCAGGCAGGCAGGCAGGCACTCAGGCAGGCAGGCAGGCAGGCAGGCAGGCAGGCAGGCAGGCAGGCAGGCAGGCAGGCAGGCAGGTCAGGCAGGCAGGCAGGCAGGCAGGCAGGCAGGCAGGTCAGGCAGGCAGGCAGGCAGGCAGGCAGGTCAGGCAGGCAGGCAGGCAGGCAGGCAGGCAGGCAGGCAGGCAGGCAGGCAGGCAGGCAGGCAGGCAGGCAAGCAGGCAGGCAGGTCAGGCAGGCAGGCAGGCAGGCAGGCAGGCAGGCAGGCAGGCAGGCAGGCAGGCAGGCAGGCAGGCAGGCAGGCGTGTCAGGCAGGCAGGCAGGCAGTCAGGCAGGCAGGCAGGCAGGCAGGCAGGTCAGGCAGGCAGGCAGGCGTGGCAGGCAGGAAGGCAGGCAGGCAGGCACTCAGGCAGGCAGGCAGGCAGGCAGGCAGGTCAGGAAGGCAGGCAGGCGTGTCAGGCAGGCAGGCAGGCGTGTCATACAGGCAGGCAGGCGTGTCAGGCAGGCAGGCAGGCAGGCAGGCGTGTCAGGCAGGCAGGCAGGCAGGCAGGCAGGCAGGCAGGCAGGCAGGTCAGTCAGGCAGGCAGGCAGGCGTACGTGTCCGGCAGGCAGGCAGGCGTGTCAGGCAGGCAGGCGTGTCAGGCAGGCAGGCAGGCAGGCAGGCGTGTCAGGCAGGCAGGCGTGTCAGGCAGGCAGGCAGGCAGGCGTGTCAGGCAGGCAGGCAGGCAGGCGTGTCAGGCAGGCAGGCAGGCGTGTCAGGCAGGCAGGCAGGCGTGTCAGGCAGGCATGCAGGCGTGTCATACAGGCAGGCAGGCGTGTCAGGTAGGCAGGCAGGCAGGCATGTCAGGCAGGCAGGCAGGCGTGTCAGGCAGGCAGGCAGGCAGGCGTGTCAGGCAGGCTGGCAGGCGTGTCAGGCAGACAGGCAGGCAGGCGTGTCAGGCAGGCAGGCAGGCGTGTCAGGCAGGCAGGCGTGTCAGGCAGGCAGGCGTGTCAGGCAGGCAGGCGTGTCAGGCAAGCAGGCAGGCAGGCAGGCGTGTCAGGCAGGCAGGCGTGTCAGGCAGGCAGGCGTGTTAGGCAGGCAGGCAGGCAGGCAGGCAGGCGTCAGGCAGGTAGGCAGGCGTGTCAGGCAGGCAGGCAGGCGTGTCAGGCGTATCAGGCAGGCAGGCAGGCGTGTCAGGCAGGCAGGCAGGCGTGTCAGGCAGGCAGGCAGGCGTGTCAGGCAGGCAGGCAGGCGTGTCAGGCAGGCAGGCAGGCGTGTCAGGCAAGCAGGCAAGGCAGGCAGGCAGGCAGGCAGGCGTGTCAGGCAGGCGTGTCAGGCAGGCAGGCAGGCAGGCGTGTCAGGCAGGCAGGCAGGCAGGCAGGTTAGGCAGGCAGGCGTGTCAGGCAGGCAGGCAGGCGTGTCAGGCAGGCAGGCAGGCGTGTCAGGCAGGCAGGCGTGTCAGGCAGGCAGGCAGGCGTGTCAGGCAGGCAGGCAGGCGTGTCAGGCAGGCAGGCAGGCGTGTCAGGCAGGCAGGCAGGCAGGCGTGTCAGGCAGGCAGGCAGGCGTGTCAGGCAGGCAGGCAGGCGTGTCAGGCAGGCAGGCAGGCGTGTCAGGCAGGCAGGCAGGCGTGTCATGCAGGCAGGCAGGCGTGTCAGGCAGGCATGGAGGCAGGCGTGTCAGGCAGGCAGGGGTGTCAGGCAGGCGTGTCAGGCAGGCAGGCAGGCGTGTCAGGCAGGCAGGCAGGCAGGCGTGTCAGGCAGGCAGGCAGGCGTGTCAGGCAGGCAGGCAGGCGTGTCAGGCAGGCAGGCAGGTCAGGCAGGCAGGCAGGCGTGTCAGGCAGGCAGGCAGGCGTGTCAGGCAGGCAGGCAGGCGTGTCAGGCAGGCAGGCAGGCGTGTCAGGCAGGCAGGCAGGCGTGTCAGGCAGGCAGGCAGGCGTATCAGGCAGGCAGGCAGGCGTGTCAGGCAGGCAGGCAGGCGTGTCAGGCAGGCAGGCAGGCAGGCGTGTCAGGCAGGCAGGCAGGCGTGTCAGGCAGGCAGGCAGGCAGGCAGGCGTGTCAGGCAGGCAGGCAGGCAGGCAGGCGTGTCAGGCAGGCAGGCAGGCAGGCAGGCGTGTCAGGCAGGCAAGGCAGGCAGGCAGGCAGGCGTGTCAGGCAGGCAGGCAGGCAGGCAGGCAGTCAGACAGGCAGGCAGGCAGGCGTGTCAGGCAGGCAGGCGTGTCAGGCAGACGTGTCAGGCAGGCAGGCAGGCGTGTCAGGCAGGCAGGCAGGCGTGTCAGGCAGGCAGGCAGGCAGGCAGGCAGGCAGGCGTGTCAGGCAGGCAGGCAGGCAGGCAGGCAGGCGTGTCAGGCAGGCAGACAGGCAGGCGTGTCAGGCAGGCAGGCAGGCGTCAGGCAGGCAG